ACAACGCCTGGCTATTTTTTGGTTGCAGCCGTCATTGTTGTTTGGTGGGTGCGGGCTGGGGATTCGAACCCGCCACCTTAGGTGTACGTGGCTGGTGCCTTAGCCGGTTGAGCTATAGGCGCCGAGCCGAGATTCTACTTTTCCAACAAGCTGTGAAATGATGCTGATGTGGCTGGTTCACCAACCACATTTGGAGTACCTATAATTCCTCAAATAACCTCAGAAGCAGTCACCATTATTGGAGGAAAATAAGTAATCAAGGACCAAAAGCAAGCACCCCAAAGAACACATGGAAACCACACTCTGAACTCTGTTACCCAAGTACACCAGAGGGCCTAAGCTTGGCTTCATTCACAGATTTTTGGCTTTACAAAGACTTTCATAGAAAATCAACTGGAGTCCGCAGCCCCAGCTCTGGACCTTTGCCATGGAGGGGTCTGGCGAGCCACTGCTGGATGCTAAATCTCAGGTGACCAACCAGCTTATAGATCTTCAGTGGAAACTGGGTATGGCTGTGAGCTCGGACACTTGTAGATCTCTTAAGTATTCTTACGTTGCAGTGATGCTAAAAGTGGCAGACCTTTCGGGCCAAGTAAAGAACAAGTCCTTTGAAATGACAATCCCACAGTTTCAAAATTTTTGCAGACAATTCAAGGAAATTGCTGCAGTTACTGAAACTGTGTGAAAACTGATGTTTAAATTGATGTCATCATTCTAAATTCATGGACTTCACTTTCTGCAATAAAACTTCATGGGATCAAGTGATTTTTACTCAATGAAAATTACATTTCTGTTTTTTCATTTTTTTTTTCAGTAAAAAACCAGACAAACTGGAAAAAAAAAAAAAAAGAAAAGAAAATCAACTAACCCTAATTACTTGGTCTCCCAAGTCTCACTTAGGTCACATTTCAAGTCTGATACTTAACTGCAGACCTGTTACTGATTTAGAATGCTCCAATTGCAATCTCTACTTAGCTCATGTCTCAAGGAGGATGAAACAATAGTAACTTTTAAATGTTTTCTAAAAAAATAAATAAAAATTAGAAAGTTTTCTAAAAAAGAACAGAAAAATATCAATATCAGCAAATAAAATACACAACAGAAGAAGTACTTTCAATATTATTAGAGCAGTTGTACTCAAAAATACATACAAATACTACAAAATACCCCAAAAATACATTCTACATACAGACAGATTTCTTTTTTCTGTCATACATTCTACATATTAATTTTCTTTTCTTTTTTTTTTCTTTTTGAGACAGAGTCTCGTTATGTGGCCCTTGGTAGAGTGCTGCAGCATCGCAGCTCACAGCAACCTCCAACTCTTGGGCTTAGGTGATTCTCTTGCCTTAGCCTCCCAAGTAGCTGGGACTATAGACACCCGCCACAACGCCTGGCTATTTTTTGGTTGTAGCTGTCATTGCTGTTTGGCAGGCCCAGGCTGGGTTCAAACCGGCCAGCCTCAGTGTACGTGACTGGCGCTATAACCGCTGTGTATGGGTGCAAAGCCTACATATTAATTTTCATTCACACCATGTAATTGCAAGATAAAAAAATGTATTCACATTTTAGAAACTACACAATCTTTTATGTTCTAAATTTAGATAATTTATTATCTTTTTCTGATTTAATTGATCTTGAATTTAAAATTCCTATAGCTAAAAAAAGGAGAAATGTATCTAAGCCTTTTCCAGGGAAATTCTCTTTTAATATTAATTCTTAAATCATTCAAAGTAATCTACAGTTTTAAAAAGGAAAATAAGAAGAAATCTGTCTCCTCCAGTTAAGACTTCACCTTTACTTCAAACAAATCTCATTTCCTTTTATCTGAAACCTGTTCCTAAGTTTTCTTGGAGTCATTTAGTAATGAAGAAAAGAGTAGGAAAGTACTTTTTTTCCTTTCTGCTTTTTTTTGAAAGGATATTAATATGAATGGAAAATTTAGAACTGTTATATTTACTATGTAAGAGTCTATAAAGTTTAATAAAGCAAAAGCTTAAACCATCCTAGAACACTCATGTGAAAAGGGACTCATGATTTAGACTGCACCAAAGATGCAATAATCAACAAAAATTTTTAAAGCCAAAAAGAACTCCTTTCTTTCCCTTTTGGGGGGGGGGGTGCAGAGACAAAGTCTCACTCTGTTGCCTGGGCTATGGTGCAGTAGTGTCATCACAGCTTACTGCAACTGTGAACTCCCAGGCTCAAGCAATCATCTTGCCTCAGTCTCCTAAAGTAGCTGGGACTACAGGCACATGCTACCACATCTGGCTAACTCTTCTACTTTTGTAGAAGTGGAGTCTGGCTACATTGCTCAGTTTAGTCTTAAACTCCTGACCTCAAATGATCTTCCAGCCCTAACCTCCCAAAGTGCTAGGACTACAGATATGAGCCACCCTGTACCTGGCCAGATTTCTTAATTTTCTTAAGAAACCAGATGGGAAATAAATATCTGCACACTGACTGATCAGAGATTAATTTTGCTTTCCACAGAACATGAGCTAAAAGGAACCTTTAGAAATCATTTATACCAATTTTCTCACTGTGTTGGTTGAAATTCGGGCCCAAAGATGGCTGAACAAGAGATATAATGAATTCAACAAGCTAATCACAAGCCTCTGAAAGACATTTAACTTAAATTATAGTTAAAAATAATCAAGTATGCCTGTGACTAATAAAAATCTGGCTTAACAGAATAATATGTAAAAGTAAAAATAAAAAAGCAAATGCTTACTATTATTACTACTCTCCTCTAGCCTTCTGGCCTAAGAACTGAAAAATATTCCACATACCAAATCAGACTCAGCGGTTGCCTTTTACCCTTTCCGATAGAATTTCCCATTATTTTACATACCTCTTACCAGTCTTTTTAACTTTTATTTCCTCAACTATGTACATATTAGGGCCCTCATTTATGCCACTGGGTTTACAAGAGCAGAAACTATGTCATCACCTTTTGTATAGCTCCAAAGTATATCTAGAGTCTTAACAGATGCTTATTGATGTATATTAGATCTCTTCTGTTTTATTTTTATTAGAAACTATGTTTAAAGGGAAACTCTGACTGACATTCTTCAGGCTTCTATTCTTCAAGTAAAAAACTATACAGGAAGCTTTATATATGTATTTGTCAAAGAAACTATGGCTTCACAGATGTGCCTGCAGAAACTGAAACAGGGATGCATAAGTGGAGGGGGATAAATGAGTAGGTATAGCAGAAAATTAGAAGTTAACATTAATAGAATGAATAGAATACTGTTAGTTCTGAATCCTTAAAACGTTCAGAATATGTATATACAAGAAGGATTTAGTAAATCAAGTTTACAGGGGCCCATGTTACTTAATGGTTTCAGCAATGCCTCTCAAAATGAAACTGAGAATGTACACACATGGAATCAAACTGAAATTCCAGGAATTGAAATCAAAGCAATGCTTAGATATTCAATCAAGGGCCAGATGCAGTGGCTCATGCCTATAATCCTAGCACTATGGGAGGCCGAGGCAGGTGAATTACTTGAGCTCAGGAGTTTGAGACTAGCTTGAGCAAAAGTGAGACCTCATCTCTACCAAAAAAAAAAAAAAAAAAAACCTAGCTGGGCATTGTGGCCTGTGCCTATAGTCCCAGCTAACTGGGAGGCTAAGGCAGGAGGACTGCTTGAGTCAAGAGTTTGAGGTTGCTGTAAGCTACGATGACACCACAGCACTCTACCCAGGATGACAGAGTAAGACCTTGTCTCAGAAAAAAAGAAAGAAAAGATTCATTTAAAAAGATAAAATTTGGCCAGCTTGGTGGCTCACACCTGTACTCCTAGCACTCTGAGAGTTTGAACTCAGGAGTTTGAGATCAGCCTGAGCAAAAACAAGACCCCATCTCTACTAAAAATGGAAAAACTGAGGTAAGAAGATCCCTTGAGCCCAAGAGTTGGAGGTTGCTGTGAGCTGACAGCACAGCACTCTACCCAGGGGGACAGCTTGAGACTCTGTCTCAAAAAAAAAAAAAAAAAGATGAAATTTGATAGTAAAAAGTTAATGTAATTAAAACAACAGTGACAGAGAATAGGGAAAGATTAGCAAACAGAATACAGACTAGAGAAGAGTCACAGAAACTCATAAACTGAAAATGAGTCAGCAGAATAATGTTATTTAAATGTAATCATGTTAGAACAAGTAATGGAAGTATATTATTTCCAAGGTGAAATAAAATTTTTTGTTCTATAAGAAACGGCCACTTGGCTCGGCACCTATAGCTCAGCAGCTTGGGCACCAGCCACATATACTGGAATTGGCAGGTTTGAATCCAGCCCAGGCCTGTCAAACAGCAATACAACTACAACCAAAAAGTAGCTGGGTGTTGTGGCAGGCGCCTATAGTCCCAGCTACTGGGGTGGCTGAGGCAAGAGAATCGCTTAAGCCCAAGAGCTGGAGGTTGCTATAAGCTGTGACATCACAGCACTCTACCCAGGGCAACGTAATAAAACTTTGTCTCAAAAAAATTTTAAAAAGACAAAAAAAGAAATGGCCACTTAACATAAAAAATCATGAGAATATAGTGTCTTATACTCAGTATAGTTTTGATAACTGCATTCTTTTAAAAGATTATACACAAAATAAAAATAGTTCAGAAAATCAGCAACAAAAAGTTATAATGGTCAAATAAGTCAAGGTTAAATACTGGGCTATTTTTCCTTTTTTTTTTAGACAGAGCTCCAAGCTATCCCCCGGGTAGAGTGTCAGTAGCATCACAGCTCACAGCAACCTCCAACTCCTGGGCTCAAGCGAGTCTCCTGCCTCTGCCTCCCAAGTAGCTGGGACCACAGGTGCCCGCCACCATGCCCGGCTATTTTTTGGTTGCAGCCGTCATTGTTGTTTGGTGGGTCCAGGGCTGGATTCGAACCTGCCACCTTAGGTGTATGTGGCGGGCGCCTTAGCCGATGGACCCACAGGCGCCGAGCCTGGGCTATTTTTAAACTCAAAAATTGAGACTTATTTTAATTATCAAAAAAGGATATAGCACATTAAAAAATATGGGGGAAAGTATACCAAACAGCATATGAGGGGCAGGTGAGGGCTAAAACTTACTAAGACAGTTTTTGATTCCTGGACTCATCTTTGTGCTACACAGCCGCCTGGGGTCTATGTGTGTGTCCATACATGAGTGATCTTTTTTTTAAACTTCATTTAATCCTAATATCTATATCCCAGCAAGGAATTACTATTATCCTCATTATTCAATATAAAAAATGACACTAAGAAGTTGGATTTGGTATTTTGTCCAACCTTCTATGGCTTTGGTTATCAGAATTTGATATAAACAAGTCTGCCTGACTCTGAGTTCAATTAAGAAAATAAACTACTTTTTCCCATCTCCAGATGATACAGCTCTTCAGCTGCCATCAGAAAAACTTGTGGGGTTTTTTTTGAGACACAGTCTCACTCTGTCACCCTCAGTAGAGTGTCATGGTGTCATAGCTCACAGTAACCTCAAACTCTTTGGCTCACACAATTCTCTTGCCTCAGCCTCCTGAATAGCTGGGATTACAGGTGCTGCCACAATGCACAGCTAATTTTAGAGATGGGATCTCACTCTAGCTCAAGCTGGTCTCAAACTGGTGAGGTCAGACAATCCACCGGCCTCAGCCTCCCAGAATACTGGGATTACAGGCCTGAGCCACTGTGTCCGGCCAAAAACTTTAACAAAGAAAAAAAATATATACAACAGAAGTTTCCTTCCTGAAATTGCCAAATCCAGATAGTCATGACTCAATAAAACTACATAAGAATTGTACAAAAATAATTTTAATAATTCAACTTAAAGAAA